TTGATGTTATCCTCTTTTAATACCAATGTGATTTTAGTCCACAGATTGATCTCATTTGGGTATACCCAAAAACAGTACTTAGAAAAAAAGAAGACAATACATAGGAAGAGATACTTCTGAGTACATCGGTACAACATTCGAGTACCCCAGAGCAGGACATTTAAATAGACGAAGAGCACATTGTATTCTTCTCTTTCATTATTTGAAAAGGTCACACAGAATAATTGCTATCCATGTCTACAGTATTTAACGAGAAACTTATTTTCTCAAACCATATGACCTGTTACAAACAATTAGAAAAAGCTTGGGGCTGGCTTTTCATATCTTATAATTTCCTACTCGACATCTCAGAAACCCTCCTACCCCATATGGGTAGTGGGGGGATGATGGTAGGGTGGGGTTGGCACTGACCACTAACCCAGTCTAAGCTTAACCATGGCCAGTGACACCTATGCTACTCTGAGACCTCTCTCCCTGCTGTAGTTGCTCCCTTGCAACATTGCACAGCTCCTGATGATGCACTGAGAAGTGTGAAAGTACTTGAGCTAAAGATTCCCCCCCCCCCATGGCTTGTCCTGCATATGTATATTTTTTTTTTCAACAAACCGGCCGTATCCCACCAAGGCAGGGTGACATAAAAGGGAAAACAAAAGTTTTTCTTTTTAAATTTAGTAATTTGTACAGGAGAAGGGGTTACTAGCTCCTTGCTCCCAGCAGTTTAGTCACCTTTACGACATGCATGGTTTACAGAGGAAGAATTCTTCTCCACTTCCCCATGGAGATCTAACACTGTATACAAAAAATACCTTTTTTTTTTTTCAACAAGTCGGCCGTCTCCCACTGAGGCAGGGTGACCCAAAAAAGAAAGAAAATCCCCGAAAAGAAAATACTTTCATCATCATTCAACACTTTCACCACACCCACACATTATCACTGTTTTTGCAAAGGTGCTCAGAATACAACAGTTTAGAAGCATATACCTATAAAGATACACAACATATCCCTCCAAACTGCCAATATCCCAAACCCCTCCTTTAAAGTGCAGGCATTGTACTTCCCATTTCCAGGACTCAAGTCTGACTATATGAAAATAACCGGTTTCCCTGAATCCCTTCACTAAATATTACCCTGCTCACACTCCAACAGATCGTCAGGTCCCAAGTATCATTCGTCTCCATTCACTCCTATCTAACACGCTCATGCACGCTTGCTGGAAGTCCAAGCCCCTTGCCCACAAAACCTCCTTTACCCCCTCTTTCCAACCCTTTTGAGGACGACCCCTACCCCTCCTTCCTTCCCCTATAGATTTATATGCTTTCCATGTCATTCTACTTTGATCCATTCTCTCTAAATGACCAAACCACCTCAACAACCCCTCTTCTGCCCTCTGACTAATGCTTTTATTAACGCCACACCTTCTCCTAATTTCCACACTCCGAATTTCCTGCATAATATTTACACCACACATTGCCCTAGACAGGACATCTCCACTGCCTCCAACCATCTCCTCACTGCTGCATTTACCACCCAAGCTTCACATTCATATAAGAGTGTTGGTACTACTATACTTTCATACATTCCCTTCTTTGCCTCCATAGACAACGTTTTTTGACTCCACATATACCTCAATGCACCACTCACCTTTTTTCCCTCATCAATTCTATGATTAACCTCATCCTTCATAAACCCATCCGCCGACACGTCAACTCCCAAGTATCTGAAAACATTCACTTCTTCCATACTCCTCCTCCCCAATTTGATATCCAATTTTTCTTTATCTAAATCATTTGATACCCTCATCACCTTACTCTTTTCTATGTTCACTTTCAACTTTCTACCTTTACACACATTCTCAAACTCATCCACTAACCTTTGCAATTTTTCTTTAGAATCTCCCATAAGCACAGTATCATCAGCAAAAAGTAACTGTGTCAGTTCCCATTTTGAATTTGATTCCCCATAATTTAATCCCACCCCTCTCTCAAACACCCTAGCATTTACTTCTTTTACATCCCTGTCTAAGACCTACTTTTACCGGGAAGTAGTCTCCCTCTCTTCTACATACCCTAACCTGAGCCTCACTATCCTCATAAAAGCTCTTTACAGCATTTAGTAACTTACCACCTATTCCATATACTTGCAACATCTGCCACATTGCTCCTCTATCCACTCTATCATATGCCTTTTCTAAATCCATAAATGCAATAAAAACTTCCCTACCTTTATCTAAATATTGTTCACATATATGCTTCAATGTAAACACTTAATCTACACATCCCCTACCCACTCTGAAGCCTCCCTGCTCATCCGCAATCCTACATTCTGTCTTACCTCTAATTCTTTCAATTATAACCCTACCGTATACTTTTCCTGGTATACTCAGTAAACTTATTCCTCTATAATTTTTACAATTTCTTTTGTCCCCTTTCCCTTTATATAAAGGGACTATACATGCTCTCTGCCAATCCCTAGGTACCTTCCCCTCTTTCATACATTTATTAAACAAAAGTACCAACCACTCCAACACTATATCGCCCCCTGCTTTTAACATTTCTGTCATGATCCCATCAGTTCCAGCTGCTTTACCCCCTTTCATTCTACGTAATGCCTCACGTACCTCCATCACACTTACATTCTGCTCTTCTTCACTCCTAAAAGATGGTATACCTCCCTGGCCAGTGCATGAAATTACCGCCTCCCTTTCTTCCTCAACATTTAAAAGTTCCTCAAAATATTCTCGCCATCTACCTAATACCTCCCTCTCCCCATCTACTAACTCCCCTACTCTGTTTTTAACTGACGAATCCATACTTTCCCTAGGGTTTCTTAACTTGTTTAACTCACTCCAAAATTTTTTCTTATTTTCATTAAAATTTCTTGACAGTGCCTCTCCCACTCTTTCATCTGCTCTCCTTTTGCATTCTCTCACCACTCTCTTCACCTTTCTTTTACTCTCCATATACTCTGCTCTTCTTATAACACTTCTGCTTTGTAAAAACCTCTCGTAAGCTACCTTTTTCTCTTTTATCACACCCTTTACTTCATCATTCCACCAATCACTCTTTCCTCCTGCCCCCACCCTCCTATAACCACAAACTTCTGCCCCACATTCTAATACTGCATTTTTAAAACTATTCCAACCCTCTTCAACCCCCCCACTACTCATCTTTGCACTAGCCCACCTTTCTGCCAATAGTCGCTTATATCTCGCCCGATATTATAATTATTTTAAAGTGTAATACTCCTCAAAACATGGAAATCAGTCACACTGTTTGACTATATAGGGTTATTCTAGGTTAATTATAATTATTTGTATTATATACATAGGTGTAAGAGAATATCCCATATGATATAAACATAATGTAGTTTCTCTGTCCATTATACTTGTGTTCCTTCCAGACCCCTGTAAAACGTATATTTACAAGGACATCACAGAAACCTGGAAATAATTCACACTGTTTGATTGAATTAGGTTATCCTAGGTTAAATCTACAGTGTGCTTATTGGCTGAATTCCACTTTATCGTGAAACTGTAATAAATCTGGAATGAAGAATCTTCCTGGCGGTTCCACATCCTGTTTGCTGTTAGGGAAGCTTCTGGTGGAACAACAGGTCCTGGTTTATTATTTATTGGTACTTCTGCTAGTGAGGCAGTATTACCCTATGATGCACTGCATAAACCTGCCTGGTTTTAAATTTTTTTGAAGGTATGAGAAGGTTGTAGAAGACCCAAACAGATGAGCTAAGGTCAAAAATACTGGAAGGTGGCATATTTGAAGATAGGAAAAATTATGTGCACTAGTATGTAGGACACAGTCATTGCCTACATACTAGTATGTTAGACAAAATTAAAAAGTTAGAGGGTGGTTAGTTAAACAAAAATCTAACTTAACAATTGCCAGGAAAGTTTAAAGCCAATTTTTTTTTAATGTCTAGGCAGTTACAAATGTGAGGAGTCTGTGTGAACTGTAACTATAGTACTTTCTATTGCATAATTATTGTAACGCAGATTAACGTATCTGTAAATGAGGGTTCCCACAACCAGCAGTAGTAACAAGCGAGAGCCTGTTAAGTTGAGGGATCACAGTAAAGGAATACAGCACAAGGAGGAAACAAGGTAAATGCTTAAGAAACTTGTATGGAAAGAAGAATCAGAAAAGCACTGAAGGAAAATGGTGAAAGGTGGGAGTTAAAGATTAAGCTAAGAAAAAGAAACAGAGGAAGATCAAAAAAAGCCATGAACAAAAAATATAGAAAAAGTTAATTAAAAAAATGAGTACAGTATGAAGAAGAAAATTAATATGAAGAAAGCAAACAGATCAATACAAGTCAAATAAACAAGAAAATAACAGTCACTGGGATGCAAATAAAGAATATTCGACAAAACAGAAGCAGATATACAAAGCCATTCTAATGTAAGAAAGCTCATAGAAAGAAAACACCATACAGAGTTCAAGGAAAGCTGGTGCAATGAGTAACAAAAGAGGGGTGACCATGTGACAACAATAAGATGAAAGTGACTTGAAATAAAAGAAAAAGTAATTAGAGGAAGAGGATTATAAAAGAAGAAATAAAAAAGTGAAGATGGTAGAGTGAACAAGGATGAGGCCCAAGTGGGAGAATAAATATAATGAGAGATCAAAAATAAAACATTGTACTGTAGTAGAGTAACTTGATGCGTGGTGATAAGGTTGGCAACAATCAGAGTGCTCAAATTAATAAAATAAAAATCTTACAAAATTCGCATTTGAGCAATGACATTCCATTCCATATGCATGCCCAAGACTAAGGTACAGTACCAGTATACAAACATTATGCCTGTGCCCCATTCATAATAAGCCAGGATACAGCAGGATACAGCACAGAATTTGGAAGGGAACACAAAACCAAGGACAGGTAAACGAAAGGACAGGTAAACAAAATAAGGACCAGAGGGAAACCAATCAAAAAAAAATAAAAAAAGAAGGACAACTCAACTCAAGCACTGGTGCAGGACTCACCCGAAGCGGTCTGCCCCCTGAGTCTGGGGTTCGGAGCGATGGAGATTGCGTGGGAGACTCATACTCCGAAATCTAGCATGGCAGCAATGTTTGGGACAAGGGGGTTCATTGCATCAGTGGCAGGGTATTATGGCAGGAACAATTTAATCTCAGCACATTTGGCGAATTGGCACCTTAAGTTAGCCCACTGGGATTAGCATTTTTCTATAAATTTCTCAACTATCAAAACATTCGACATTAGGGTGTGTGTCCACGGTTAGACAAGCAGCCTTAAATCCAATTTTGCTACAGTTGCTCTCTCTTATGCATGGTATGGCACTTGCCATATCTGCAATACTAAGCCTGTTTGACTATGGAGTATGCTATATTCACAAATAGAAATGCTCACTCGCGCACAGTACATGAAACAGAGAAGCATACATAACAAAATTCAGTCCTCATACTAAAACAAACAAATAGTGAGACACATCACACAATGGCAGCCATGTTATGGTTTAATAGAGGAATGTGCCATTAATAAGAACACAGTATATTAATAAAAATTCCAATAAATTGAAAAAGAAAAAAGTATATTAAGAGATTGCAAGCTTCACAACTTAAAAAAGGTCCTGCAAGGTGCAACAAACATTGACAGAAACTCTTAAGTGAAAATATTTAATGTAAAAAATCAACATTACAGTAATATTAATGAATAATAATATTACAAGTGAAATTATAAATTTTATGAGAACACAGAAACAATCAGCAAAACTCATGCCAAACTCACTTGGTTCCTAAACTGCGAGCTTTACGATGAGTGGGAACAAATTTTGCTTGCTGGCCATGAGTTGGGCACGAATACGTGGGTGGTGGAGCTGGAGGTCTTCCCACGCCCAAGCGAGCAGATGGGGAAACATTGAGAGAGCTGATACCTCCGGCAGCATCAGCAACACTGTCTTTACTGGTACTGTGACTGCTGCTTGGGGTGTTTGGCTCCAGCTGAAGGGACAACCTACCATATTGAACAATAAGAACAACAGCTGCTACACAATAAATGGTAGAAACCTAGTACAGTCGTAATGTAAACAAGAAAGTGCTGTTATTTTACTTCAAGATGTCAATATAATATTGTAACAAGCTGTTGTGCAAATCTCAGACAACTCCATTCAGGAACACTCTGAACTCTTCAGATTTAGAATTAACTAAAACAAAGGTTAAAAGATGACATCATGAGCAGCATATAAATAATAAATACATTTTCTCTAACATACTATAAATTTAAAGATAAAGATCTCAGGACATTCCAGTTACTGTCCATCAGTCAAATGGTGAAAAACTGACAGAAATTTACTTAATACTGCTCAAAACTCAACTTGAGTTTACAGCAATATCTAAATTAATTGACCTTTGAAATACATGCTTATGCTGAAAAAAAAAAAAAAAAAAAAAAAAGTAGTCAAATAGTATATGTAGTCCTGTACTGCTAATATACTACATTAGTAGTAAAGTATAGTATATGGTACAGGTGCACATCACTTTATCCAAAGCCCGTGGGGCCTGTAGTTTCAAATTTCAGAAAGATTCTCAATGCTGTCACGTGGCGGTGTGACCCAACACAGAGATGACAGATGCTCCACACTCCACGAAAAAACTTCAGTTTTCGGAACTTTTCAAATTTCAGAATTTTGGATAAAGGGATGTGGACCTGTACTACTATAGAATACTGCACTACTCTCATATCCATTTAACTATAAATGCCACAAGTATAACTGATTTGATGCAGGTTTTAAATTCTGTACTAAGACAAAAATAGTACCAGGGGTAAGATTAAAACTGTAGTATTCAAAGTTCACATCACTAAGACACTCAGAGAAAAATAATTTAAACTTAACACTTGGGACATACTTGTAATGATCATCTTCGACAAACTTTTGCAGCTCCTCAATGTATCTAACTGATGCTAAGTACGCTTGGACATGCTGTAGATGAGGGAGTGCCGAGTAATCTGACTGTTGGTAATCTGCTAATATCCGAAGAATATTGTTCATTTTTAATTGTCGCTGTTCAGACTCCAAGCCCCCAAAATGAGGGTGTGCCATATCAATGTAGACCAAGTCAGTTAGGAAGAGACCTGGAGAATAATAGTTAAGATACAATACCACACCTTTTAATATACAGTAGTCCCCCTGTATCCAGGGGGAATACTTTCCAAGATCTACCGTGGATACCCAAAACTGTGGATAGTAGCAAATCCTATATACAAGTCGTTTTTTGTTTATATATATACCAACGATAAAGTTTAATTGATGAATTACACACAATAAGTCAAGAATCGGCACTTTTTCACTGGTGAAAAGACTAACAGCTTCTCTTAGGATTGAAGAACTGCCAGCATCACTATTTTTGCATTTTAGGGCCATTATTAAGCAAAATTAAGGTTTATTTCAGGCTATGGTAAATCACAGATAACTGAAACTGTGGAAACCAAATCTACAGAAACAGGAGTTCTATTGTACTGTACTACCTAAACAATAAAACATTATCACAAGAAAAATGTTGCCTACAATATTTCTTGACCACAATTTTACCAAGAACTTAACACTATACTTAAGTAAAGAAAATATATATATACAGTGGACCCCTGCCCTACGAACGCATCGCGTTACGTTAAATCCGCCATACGAAGCATTTGAACGCAAAAATTTTGCCTCGCCTCACGATAAAAAACTTGCCTTACGTGATTCGTCCGGGATGCGTCCCATGTGTGGCCTCAGCGCCAGTGTTTACCAAGCCAAGCCAGTCCAGTCCAGTGCGGTCTCGCATCTACGCATTACATTCGGTCACTTTCAAACATCATTATCTCAGAGTTTTATAGTGCTTGTAACTGCAAAATACGTCCACCATGGGCCCCCATCAAAGAAGAAAAGAAAGCTATCTAGGCCATCCCTGTCGGTATATAAGGGCGAGAGGTGAAGAATTAGTATGGAATTGAAAAAAGGATAAAGGAAATGTGTGCAAAGTGGGTTTTGAACTGCAAACCTTTGCAGATGGGAAAAATCACCCTGAAACTAGCTACTGCAAGCCGTGTTGGAAACTGTGTACAATGACAAATGTTAGGGCCATGTTTGGATAGTCTCTTAAGGAAAGGGAAGGTACAGCTCTCTATGGACAGATCTTATTGTGCGACAGAGGTCAGTGACTCTCCAAAGTGCGTCCTATCCCGTGGCATTAAATTCAAATGAAGGGATGTAACCCTGGAATAAGGTCATTGTTTACCTCAAATTTCCTAATGGATGGGGAGAGTCCCCTTTCTAAACATATACTTCTACACTCTCCCCTCATCCCATCCAACTCAATCATCACCAGATATTCAATAAATGTAAGATGTCATGTATTCTTTCTTAGTAGAGTAGTAATTGTGAAGACGTCTTCTTCAGTTTGTGTGTGTACTATTATATATTAATATTTTACATGTGGTATATAACATTTTTTTTTGTTCTTACTATGGGTGGTCTGGAGGTTAAATTAATGTGATTTCTATTATTTCTTAGGGGAAACATAATTAATTCGGTCTAATGATTAATTTAGCGCTTACGATGAGCTCTAGGAACAGATCTAATATCGTAAGGATGGGATCCACTAACTAACTAACCTAAACTAACATAACAAACAAAAACTAACTAACTAACTAATAACTTACCAAACTAAACTAAACTAAACTAACTCTAAATTATATAATATATATATATATTAAAAATTATACATCTATATAAGATATATATTTATATATATATAAATATATTATTATATATTATTTATATATTATATATACATATAATATTTATAAATAAATTTTATATATATATATTATATATAAATTTTATATTTATTTATATATTATATATATATTTTTTTTTTGATTTTTTTTTTTTCTTATCACACCGGCGTGTCCCACCAAGGCAGGGTGGCCCGCAAATGAAAATAACTTTTCACCATCAGTCACTCCTTCACTGTTCTTGCCAGGCAAGGGTGCTTACACTACAGTTTTTAATACTGCAAATTTAACACCATCCTTCAGTAGTGCTGGACACTGTACTTCCCATTCAGGACTCTGTTCCGGCCTGCCGGTTTCCCTGAATCCCTCATAAATGTTAAATTCGCTCACACTCCATCAGCACTCCATGTATTAAAATCCATTTGTCGCTCCTATTCTCTCCTATCAAATTAAAGCTCACGCATGCTGTGGGAAGTCCAAGCCCCTCGCACACAAAACACTCACGTTACCCACTCCTCCTACCCTTCCTAGGCCGACCCCTACCGCCTTCCTTCCACTACAGAATGATACACTCTTGATGTCATTCTGGTTTCGCTCCATTCGTCTACATGTCCGAACCCTCAAATTACAACCCGTCCTCAGCCCTCTGGACAACAGGTTTGGTTAATCCCGTCACCTCCATCCTCCTAACTTCCAATTTCGAAATCTCTGCATTATTATCACTACTATTCACACCACACTTTGCCTCAGAAATGACTTCGCCACTTGCACTCCAGGCCTTCTCCTCGGCTGCAACATTCTTCACCCCCGCTTCACACCATATTGAGCGTTGGATTTATAACTATAATCTCAGACATTCCCCTCTTTTGGCCTTCTTGGACATAAGTTCATTTAGTCATCTGTCGCATATAGTGCTACCACTCACTATCTTTTCCTCATCCATTTCGTGCATTCTCTCATCTTTCATAGAGACACATCCGCTGACACGGTTCCTACTCCCCAAAAATATTCTGGATATACGTTCACCTCCTCCATAATCTCTCCTACATTATGATATTCTATCTTTCCTAACTAATCTTTTGGGTTTTACTTCTTATCCTTTATCTTTCCTGTTTTCACCTTTAATTTTCTTCTTTTCTTGCTTCTACCCTACAAAATTCATCCAACCATAATCTACTGCATATTCTCTTCGAATCTCCATGAGCACAGTGTCATTCAGCAAAGAGCAGCTGTGACAACTCCACTGTGTGTGTGATTCGTTTATCTTATTAACTCCGCCTCTTGCACAAAAAACCGTCGCATTTACTTCTATTACAAACCATCTATAAATATCATTAAAAAACCACGGTGACATCCACACATCCTTGTCTAAGGGCCCTACTGTTATGGAAAAAAATTTCCCTCTTTCCTACAACTCTAACTTGAGCATATCCCCTCATCTCTCCTCGTTTAAAAACTTTCACCTGCTTACTGTACCTAATCCTTTCACAATACACTTGACAACATCCTGCCACTTGCCCCTATCCACCTGTCATACGGCCTTTTTCCCAAATCCATAAATGCCACAAATGACTCTTGATCCTTATATAATTTACTGTTATCTTATATGTTTCACTGTATAAAAAACCTGGTCACACACCACCCTAACTTTCCTAAGCTTTGTTCATCTGCTATCCTACTTCTCAGTATCTTACTCTTAATTCTTTCACAAGTTATAACTATACCATACACTTTTACCAGGTACACTCAAAGACTTTTCCCCCTATAATTTTTGCACTCTCTTTGATACCGTTGCTTGTATACAAAGGAATTTGCATGCTCTATGCCTATCCTAGGTACCTTACCCTCTTCCATACATTTAGGAAATAATTGCACCAACCACTCCTAAACTATTATTCCCCCACCTGCTTTAATTTTCATATCTTTATCACATCATATCACGCTGCCTTACCCCCTTTCATTTTACCTACTGCCTCGCGAACATTCCCCAACACTTCACAACTGGCTTTCCTCTCTCTACAGATGTTATTCATCCTTTGCCCTATTAACGAAATTCACAGCTTCCCCTAAATAATCTTCATCAACTTTTAACTCCTTCTCAAAATATTCTTCCATCTTCACAATTCCTCTTACTCTCCATTTAATACTTCCTCTCCATATTTTTAATCTGACACAAAATCCATTTGTTACTCTAGGCTTTCCGATCTTGTTAATCTCACTCAAAACTTTGTCTTATTTTAAACAAATTTGTTGATAACATTCACCTCTCTCTCATTTGCTTCTTTTTACATTGTCTTCACCAATCTTCTAACTGCTATCTTTTTCTCCATATACTTTCCCTCCTTGCATCACTTTACTTTGTAAAAAACTTTCTATATGCATAACTTTTTCTTCCATTAATACTCTCTTTACATCTCATTCCTCCAATCGCTCCGCTCCTCCTGCTACCCACTGTTTCCTGTAACCACCAAACTTCTGATGAACACATCTAACACTAATTTTTAAACCTAACCCTTAACTCACTTCGACCCATTGCCTATGCTCTCATTAGACCATCTATCCTCCAATAGCAGTTTATATCTACCCTAACTGCCTCCTCTATTTAGTTTATAAACCTTCACTCTCTCTTCCCTGATGATTTTTCTCCTTGTATCCCATCTTTCCTTTTATACTCTCAGTATAGCCTACAACTTGAAAGTGATCCGGATATTTCTGGTGGCCCCCCCTCTATAAACATGTACATCTGAGTCTACTCAACAGTCTTTTATTTTACCATACATAAACCACAAACTACTGTCATTTTCGCCCTACCTACAAATATATATATATATATCTAGTATATATACTTTATATATGAGGCGACCTAAAAATGACGAGGCAGCTATGGCTAGTAACCTCTCCTGTATACAATTACTAAAAAAGAGAAGAGAATAAACTATTTATAAAACTGGGATGCTTAAACTGCTGCGTGGATGTAGTGGCGGAGACAAGACACAGATGAATTGCTAATGTTATGAATGAAAAAGAAGTTGGATTGTCCTGGCCCCTTACTAAGGAAAAATGATGAAGGGGTAGGCAGAGTTTCAGTGGGGGGAATAAATGGGTTAATTCTGGAGTATCTGAGAGAGTTAGAGAAATGGATGGGGTAGCCAGTTATGTTAAATGATCAGTTATGGAAGTGAGAACAAGAGATATGAAGTGTAAAATTCCAAGGATTATGTGGATTTAAAGTATGTCTAGGTTGGATGCGGGAGATAGTGGGTCTTAATAAGCGTGTAAATGCCACCTGGAGGAGAGAGGAAGAAAGAGGCCAGGGAGAGAGAGAATTTTGGGAGATGTAAAGTGAATGTTATAGG